GGTTGATGAGCTCGCGGGTCTGCTCCGGCACCGAATCATCGTGCTGAAGCTGCTTCATCGCCTTGATTAGATCCTAATATTAATATATATACACCCACGTATAAACATATGTTTGATAAGTATCGATACGGATTTACGTACACCAGCGCCGTCGATAATCTATCCCTCCACCCAACCCCCTACCTGCTCTGTCATGTGTAAGTTATCTCCACCTTGGTCCCTGTCAATTTTTGAGAGACAATTGGATAAGTGTTAGGCTGTAAAAGCTATAATTACTGTCCGACTGTCCGGATAAGCAAACCCTCTATATCATACCTCCCGTCCTCCCACTTGCCCTCCTTGCCCCACTTGCCCTCCTTGCCCCCCTTGCCCCCCTCTCTCCTCCCCCCGCTCTCTTGCAGCCCCTTTGCACGTACCCCTCGGGGACATTGGAGTCCGAAGGGGCGTACGCCCTCCGTAGAAAATTCATCGCCATGGTACTACCCCTTTGACAATCGAAGGAGGGAGAGTTTTGTCAAGGGAAGGTAAGGGGTCCCAAGCACAGGCAAAAGAACGCGAGGGAGAGGGGGACGGCCTGACCTCGGTGCTGGAAGCGGCAGCGTCGGACTCTGAGCCTCTCTCCTTCCTTCCAAGAATCTACGGGCGGCTTCTGCGTAGGAGGGCACCCGGAGAGAAACAAATTGAAAGGGCATGAGTACTTTACGTTAATCTCCGTCGTGGCATCCATTGTCAAGCTGCAATGTCTGTGAAAATGTACAGGAACTGGCAATACGCCAATTAATGTACCAAGAGAAGTGTCTCATCCCTCTGAATCTTTCCTGCAATAACGCGACTGTGGTCCAGAAGGTGCCTGGTGCAATGCTTTAGACCGGACACATGCAAGGAAAGCTTTAACAACCTGGCAAATTCAGAAAAGTACAATGCTCACTTGAGCTTAAACAAGCCTACTTCTTCCAAATTACGGCTTCGCGAGAACAGAGTCGTCGGACCATTCAGCCTCTCTCTTTCCGGAGAGGCGAAGGACGCGTTAGCGGAGACAAGCTTCCTGAAATATTCATGGCGCCCCCAGCTAGCAAAGCAAAAATCGTGACAATTTAGTCCGATGTGACCCAGAGCGAGTCCTAAGCAAGCGTGCAGATGCTAACGGATTTTCCAAACCTTCTCGTTCCCATACTTGACAACTGAGGGACGAAGGCGGGTGTACAACTAGCGTTGAATGTGTGTCATCGTACGTAGGGGGGAACAGAACAGTTGAACCGTCAATCGGTTTTTTGAAAATTTGAATTTGCGAGTCTGGAAAAGCGGTTCCAGCGTCTTACCTGCGAGACTGTGTCACACGTAGAGGCCTGCCGTGCAGGCATGTGGGCAATCCTTTTGGCAACCAATGAATGAATGCATGGAGGTATAGAGCTGGTAAAGTTGATATTAAGAGAAATGATTTAATATTATTTCGAAAGGCCGAAATTTGAAATGCATGGCTAAGAGAGGAAATTTCGACACACACGAGTGAGTTCATGTACCCCCATCATTCTCTGGAAACTATCTTTTTATTTGATATTTTTGTGTTAATGTATCCATGCATGGCATGAATAGGCCAAATCGCTTCAATTTATTCATATCAAAACTAATAAGCACTTGGCCGACTGCGTAATACAAAAAAATGATAGCACGAAAGTCATGCAAACATTGACAACAGCGCGTTTGTATATCGTTGCATCTAGGCCTGAAGCGACTGCTAGACGAAGCAAGCCTTTCTTGCATTCCCGGCTACCTCGCATCGCGGTTGTATTTCCCCAGCTTTTAGGGAGGGGAAATCCCTCACACAACCTTCCCCGATTAGCTTCTATGACCAATACTTCCTTCCCTTGGTCACTTTGCGCTAAGAATATCCCAAGCTACCTGTCCAATGGCCGCGTCCTATGTGATATACCATGCGGAACGGGAAAGAAAATGACACTCGATCACTAGGTACGACAAACACCCTGGAACCAAGCCGCACAGGGCGCACTTTCTTTCCCCTCCCTCCATCCGCCCATCACCAACATTACACACTACTACCACCACCACCACCACTACCACCACCATACCACTGCCAACAACAATAGCAACAACAACAACAACAACAACAACAACAACAACAACAACAACAACAACAACAA